ATTAAGTAGAACAGGAGACCTATTTCTCAGTTCTAAAATACAGTAAATCTCTTTTACTCAGGCCCAACTAGTGCATGGTGCTAGTAACCTCTACATCAGGGGTGTCAAACTGCAGGCTGATGTGTCATGCTGAAACCATGCTCACCCCAGCTCCAGCAATGGGGGGGAAAAGTCACAATATTTCACGACACATCACGTGACATTGCGAGTTTGACACCCCTGCTCTACACAGAGTACCATACTCACAACAATGCAGGGAGTCAAAAAGACGACTAAAGGTAGAATGTCCAAACGGCACTGAAAGTAATTTAAAAAAAACCCCATCCTGATGCTTCTATTTATACTTTCCCTGTTAAATTTATTGATTCCATTCTCCTGGGGTTTTGAAGCAGAGGGCCTGATTCCATTCAGAAAACTTTTTAGCTGCTTTTAGAGTTACAGCCCACCAGACAGAGGGTTTTAAAAAAAATCAAATTGTCATTTTCAGTCCAAATTAGATGTTATAAAATATTTAGAGTAATCATCCAACCTGCAGCAATCAACAATGATTAGACTAGTTGAAAAGTCTGGGAATTAACGCCTTGGTATCTGGAGGCTTCACAGGATATGGAAAGCTTGTCTGATTGTTAGTCTGATCCAGAATAGCTCTTATATATATATATTTAATATATTGCCTTGCAACACAGCTGTAATTGGCCTTTATTTGTTTTAAAGAGGCCATCAGACTATCATTACTTGTATTTATATTATTACAGCCTGTCCAGAAGTCAAATTAAGTTGAAATAATCATTCCCCCAAGATTAAGGTCAGGTGTGCTTTAGCAGCTAGAACAGCAAGTGAAACTACTCTAGCAGTATCTTTCTTTTAGCTTTCTTGTCAAGTCGCTTCTTTCCTGCCAAACTGAGTGATGCATTGTGGTATCATCAGTATGGAATAAGGAAGACACTACAATTATTTCCTTTTCTTCTTTGCCTGTTAAAATCTAAGAAGCTGTTGGAAGACGAATTGGTGTTGAAAATGCCTGATCTTCTTGGGTTTATTTGTTAAAGCAGGAAGATGTTTTCAGAATAGGTCCTTAATTCAGGTCTAAATAACCTCATTATGGTAGACATAGGGTTCCACCTTCTGATTCTATATTTTCATAATTTATTGTGCATTTTTTAAAAAACAATACTCAGTAGGGCATTATTGTGTATCTCTTCCATACATTTCCCAATATTCTGCCAATTCCTAAAGAGTCCTGTGGACTTTCTATTACACTTAGAAACAGTGGTGGGATTCAGCTGGTTCGCACCACTTCGGCAGAACCGGTAGCTAATTTTTTGTTGCCCAGGCCCAGAATGGACTTCTGGAAGCGGCATCCACACAGAGAACCAGTTCATATAGCTGAATCCCATCACTGGGGAGGGGGCTTGGATGGGTTGGTTGAGGGTCAGTGCTGTCTCTGGTTAAGTATGTTATGTGAAGGCAGCGTATGGATTGCATGGAATACATGAAATACATTGTTCACATATTTGAATCCCACCACTGCTTAGAAACCTAAATATTTAGATGGGTTTCTGATGGGCCAGCATGAAACTATAATGGAATTGATGAGATAAAAACTTTATTCCTGCATTATTTTGATCTTCCAATATGTCAGAGGGTCTGTGCTTGGTGTCTGGCAGATTCCATGCTTAGCTCAATTACTTTTAATTAAAAATCACATGTAAAAATACCATGCTGTAAAGCCAAGCCCAAGTCTCTAGCCCTATTTTTAAAGACTGTAATCTCAAGAGTGCTTCCTGACCCTTCATATACTATGCTGTGGAAACATATAGGACAGGGTCAGCAGAAGTGGCAAGGAGCCTGCAAGAAAACTAAAGCAGGTGATTGGGAATATTCTCATTTGTTTGCTTTCTGATAAAATCCCATCTACAATGCCTGGTAATTTCTGAAAATGCCCATAAAGTGTCTTTCAGAACTTACCGGCACAAAAAATATAAATACCTCTGTTGTACCAGATGGTTCAGTTTTGGTGTGCCACCCATAAAACCTTGATGATAATTGCCTCATTAGTTTTCATTTAAAAGGCTGAAACGAGAGAGCTTAGCAGCCGGTTTAGGAAAACTCAATTGAATTTAGTAACACTTCAACCAGACTTAATTTCAAATGGGTAAACTGTTGATCGCAGCTGAATTCACTTAATATATTCCTGTTGTTGAAAACTTGCAAGAGAAAGTGCTTACCGTCATGTTGCGTCCCAGACAGTCCCAGATGTGAGACCAGATTTGTTGTAGATGGTCCAAAAGTTGCTGGAACCTGCGTACATAACTGCCCAGATTAGAAAGAAATAACCTAGATATTGCTTCTGTCTCAGACCTTCTCATGATTCTCTTGCTTGATCTTTGTGCTTACTCTTGAAGTTGCTCTAGTCCTTTGTTGAATGTTAAATTCCATAACCTCTGCCTTTTTTTTATGAGTATGCTTTGTGGCTTGGTGCTTCTTTTATCTATAAAACCCTGTACTATCATTCTACTGATAGTAGAAGTAGTAGTTCAAGAATTTATAGAGCACCCTAAAATTTTCATAACCACACAGATGGGCTTATCTTTGCTTCAGTTGGAACCCACACAAAGTAATTAGTTACGCAAATATCTATGCAAAAGTGTTCACAGTATGCTTGGCAAGATGACACATGCAAGTAAGCAAAACAGGCTTGTAAATGAAGCTGGCATGTTGGTGTATCCAATTATCAAGCTTGCACAAACAGTTGCAACTTCCAAGTGGCCTATATTAACTATAAATTGATTGTATCAGGAATGGGGTGGGAATTAAGGCACTATTTAGAATAGCATGTGGGTCACCCCAGTCCAAAAATGAGCATGAAGAAGGAGATAGAAATATGATATGATATGACATGTTATGACATAATATGACATGCTATATGATACCATTCATACAGTGAGAGAGAATTGATGGGATGATATCCTCATTCAAAACAGTTGAAGTATAATCCAATATTTATTTTAGGATTTGTGGGTTTCTCCACACTATTGGCCAATGGCTCCAATGAACAAAGAATAACATGAGAGATCTAATATCTGTCAGTCCATCCATCCCTCCATCCCTCCATCCATCCCTCCATCCATCCCTCCATCCATCCATCCATCCATCCATCCATCCATCCATCCATCCATCCATCCATCCATCCATCCATATGAAACACAGGCAAAAACAAAGAAAATTCTACTCATAATGGCTTGAGAATCTTAGTCAATATTCCCTGGATTCCAAGAAAGGAAAGTTGGATGACATTGAGGCTGATCTCCCTCAGACTCCTTCTTCAGGCAGTAGAGAATGTCTCCATAGAAGAGAAGAGAACTTTTTCTGTTTTCCCATGGATAACACGAGTTTGCTGCTGGAACATCTAATTGGGCTCCAGCTTCCTCAGTTGTGCCAAAATGGTAGGGTAGACTAAAGCATTGTCCATGTACCTTGCGTGATGCATTCTACGAGTAGACCTCACCTTAGGACCACAGTCGGGACCAAAATTTCCATTGCTAGCAAGGCTGTTGTTAATGAATCATGGCCAATTTTACAAGCTTTTTGCCACAGTTGTAAGCAAATCACTGCTGTTAAGTGACTTGTGTGATAGTTAAACAAATCTAGCTTCCCCCACTGACTTTGCTTGCTGGAAGTCATCTGGGAAGGTTGCAAGGGGTGATCACACAACCCCGGGTTGCTGCAATTGGCATAGAGACATGCCAGTTGACAAAAAATTGATCATGTGACTGTGGGTAGGAAGCAGTGGTCATAAGTGTGAGAACTGGTCATAAGTCACTTTTTCATGCAGTTGTAACTTCGAATGGTTGTAAGTCAAGGATTACCTGTACGAAGTTTTAGTGAAACTTTCGTCATATATAACTGCCTTAAGAAGAACTGCATCTCAAAACTACCTGGAAGATTCTTCTGTTATAGAAGATGGTCACCGGAGTTTATGGTGAAATAATAGCTTTAGCAGCTTCTACATGGAATTCTAGAAATTATTTGTTATTTACTTTTAGTTTGGGGTACTAAGGACTATAGTGGACGAGGCTGAGATGTTCCATTTCTTTTCTTTGGGACTTGGATTTTTTAAAAATACAATCATAGTTAAGGCTTAATTGATAATATTTATCCTTGTTCCAATCTAAAAAGAGCAGAAAAGTATGCTGCAAATACTTGGTGGAAATTTGCCAGATTTTAGAGGCACTGTCAGCAGGTCTTCTGGGAATTGCAAAGAATGTTCCAGCCAACAGGTTGTGGATTGCTTTGCACGTTGGATGCCTGCCTATAATTCACTCTCTATTTTTCAAGTCCTTGCAGGAAATGAAACGATTTTCTAGGAAACGTTGAATTGAAAAAGAATTGCCACTGCCCTAGATTGGTAGAGTTTTTGTTTTTATTTTTGGGTGGTGCTTTCCAACTGAAAATATTGGAGGGGAGGGACTCATACTAACTAGAATCAATAAATTGTTCTTAGTGTTACATTTAGACAAATTGTTAATTACATTTCCTGCATTATGGTTCCAGTTCATTGAAAATTGTATTTTAAGCAAAATTCTTTACACTGCACCACATATTGTGATCTAAACATGTTTGTTGTTTAAAATATGGGTATGTATGTATGTATGTGTGTGTGCATGTACAGGTTTCCCTGTCGTGTTCAACTCTTGGACACAGTGCTCATCTCCGTGTCTTAACCGAGGGAGACTATTTCCGTGGTCATGTGGCCAGCATAGCTATATACCAAAGGTGCAGAGGAAGCTGTTACCATCCCACCAAAGTGGTACCTATTAATCTACCTGCATTTGCATGCTTTCAAACTGCTAGGTGGGCAGGAGCTGGAGCAAGGAACGGGAGCTCACTCGTTGCATGGTGCTTAGGTCTCAAACTTGGACTGTCAGCTCTCCACACACACAAAATTCTAGCAATTTTGAAAGATCTTCTCTCCCATTTTCCTTTTATTTTGTGTCTAGGGATTCAGATTTGTTCTTACTTGATACGCGTATAATTTGGGCTGAAGAAGAAGGTTGGCTGGTATTTGATATTACAGCAACTAGTAATCATTGGGTGGTAAACCCGCAGCACAATCTTGGCCTGCAGCTATCAGTGGAGAGTATAGATGGTGAGTATCATAAAATAACATTTTGGCAAATCTTTTACAGTTTGTGCTTGGGATAATGACCAGTTGTATTTAGAGATGGTGTCACTTTCATGTGTCCCCTTGGTAGGGAAGGTGGTCCTTTATTCAAAGGTATCCTCTGTCCAACCAATATCTGGATTAGGATTCATAAAAAGGAAGACAAGGTCCTTGATTAGATTTAGCTTCAGGTTATTCTCCTTCACCTCTCCCAAAAAGCTTTTCAAGCCCTAGTTTAGACTTTCCACTGGCTTCCATTGGCACAGTTTATTATGTGCACCTGGAAGTCATTTTACCTTTAGATCAAGTACTTTCTTGTTTTGTTTTTGCCTCTGGCAATACAAAGAAACTACCAGAATCAGACATCTTCCTCCTTACTGAATGAAGACTAAGAAGAACAAGCTAAATTTGTTAATGTAAGAAAAGTATATGTGGGCATTGGCCATTTCATCTACCCCATGGAAATTTGAGTCTAGGTGGGATGGTTTTGAAGGGATTTTGAAGTTCTAACTGAAACATAAGTTCACATTCAATAGTAAGTAGACCAGGAATCCTCAACCTTGGCAACTTTAAGACTTGTGGACTTCAAGTCCCAGAATTTTTCAGCCAACTCCCAGAATTCTGGGAGTTGAAGTCCACAAGTCTTAAAGTTGCCAAGATTGAGGACCCTTAAGTAGACAACCCGTGACCTAAATATCAGAGATATTTCCTTACTTAAACAGAGAAACAGAATGACCAAGGGCAGAAAAATCAGTGAGAGTAAGAATGACTTCTGGCAGCCATTGGTGGGATTGATCTACACAGCCTCCAGAAAGCTAGGATGGGACTGGTCTGTTGAACCTCTGGATGGCAATACCCCAGCACTGAAGCTACCATAATTTTTCCAAATTTCAATTCCATGGGAGTCATGTGTCCTGGATTTTGGACACATTCTTAAGTTAGCCCAATTGAGGTAAATTGGTTCAAAAATTATTGCCCTATGATGCACTGTTTCACCCAGGTTAGGTTATAGACATGAAATTTTTAGTAATATATAGATGACAATTTCTATTCTTTGATAGTTAAATCCAACAAAGGTAGCAGAAAGAAAGAAAAAAGAGAAAGAAAGGAAGGAAGGAAGGAAGGAAGGAAGGAAAGAAAGAAAAGAAGGAAGGAAGGAAAGAAAAGGAAGGAAGGAAGGAAGGAAGGAAGAAAGAAAGAAAGAAAGAAAGAAAGAAAGAAAGAAAGAAAGAAAGAAAGAAAGAAAGAAAGAAAGAAAGAAAGAAAGAGAAAAGAAGGAGGGAATTTTAGAGGGCTTTTTTTTTACTCTTGGAAAGTTTGGCTAAAGTGAAGCAATGTAAAAAAGGCTAAAGTAATTCATTAGCCTCGGGCATTCTGTTATCTTCTAAGTCTGTGAATGCTTTCCTTCCTGACATTATATTGGAGCAACAGCTTACTTTGTAAAGTTAACTTGATTTCTTACATACTCGTTCATATCCTGTTTGTCTCATTATAGTGGCAAGTTGAAGAAAACTCTTCTGCAGCTTGACTCTAGACATACATGCTTGGCAGTAAATCCCTTTCAATTTATTGGCCTCCAGAGCTAAGGAAATGTTCGGTGAATGTAGACTTAGAACCATAGTGTCTAAAACATATTTGCATCATTTCATCTGAATGAAGGGTATTGCTTTAGAATTAATACAACTATATTCTTCTCTAAAGTCTCCATGAGAACCCATCAGAGTGACAGGGAAGGAACTTTCACTATAATGAGATTAGAACCCAAGACAGGGAGTTAGTATAGATAGGAATGTGAGCTTTTTTTTTTTTTAACTTAAACAGGGATCCCCAACCCATGGCTCACTACTGGGCCGTGGCCTATTTGGAACCGGGCTGCCTGAGAGGCAGGCCAGTGCGCACTTGTGCATGCAGCTGCACAAGTGACAAGCTGGCATGCACGCATGTGCGCCAGCCCACCACTCGTGCGGCCCAGTTCCCCTCTCCCACAGCTGCGCCGCCAAGCTGCAAAGGTTGGGGACCACTGACTTAAAAAGATTCATTAAATTACATAAAATCTATTTCTTAATTTATCTATAAAATACTGTTTAAGAAAGAAAACAAATCGATACCTCCAATATTTAAGAATGAATGATTTGGTCCAGCATTACTATGCAGCTGAATTGAAAAAATATTATTTATATATGCATTATTGACTACATGGGTATGCTAGGGAGCTAAAAAATGACCATATTTCTGATGACCACTGCGTGCTTCAGAAATCCATTGGATGCTGGTATTATTTGGAAATGGTATGAATAAATTTCCTCTGAAAAATCAGTGTGTTCTCTCGTTTTCCATCCTGGTCAGTTAAATGATGGTGGGATTTTGGAAGTTTTCACAAACAACTAATAGGATCCCTAGCACTACTAACTTGGGGGCTAGATCTTAAAGCATTTAGAGCATTCGTGTATCCTGACCCACATCAGCTTGCCTGACTACTAAGATAGACTTAAGAGGCCTGTTTGATTTTCAATAAATCCCAAGTCCCTCAATACACTCCAGTTTCACCAATCTCTGGAAGGCTACTAGACAGGGGCCATCACATATCTCCAGACCTCAACCTTACTTCCCCAAAATGGACCACCATTAGCAACATCTTCTGGGATACTCATATTGGATAGATCCCAATAATACTTAGAGCTAAGCTCCAAAGGGCTTCATAGGATGAAGCCTGCAGTGTGAATTGTACCCAGAACCATATTTGTAATGTAGATGCTCTAACCAGCAAATGGGCCACTTTATTCTGAGTCAACTGCAACGTTAAAGTGAATTTCAAAGTAGCCCCATGTAAAGACTGTTGCAGTAGTCCACAATATCATATTTGTTTACATAAGACTAAAAAATTTATTGGGATGTCTTTTAATAAGAAAAAGCTGTTTCTTTCTATCTCTCAAATGGATGTTTTCTGGAAACACACCAGCTTTTATTTTAGGACATTTTTATTTTAAGCTAATAACTTTCAAAGAAAATTTAGTGTTCTGTTGGGCTTAGTTTTATGGCTCTTTTTTTTAACAGGAGCACATTAAATTATAAATAGTTGAACTCAAGAAACGTCCCTTCCCCCACTTGTTTTTTTAAAGAAACCAAAGAATAGGAGAAAATAATATTGAAGTTGATCTGGAATAACATGGCTTTCAATAGAGGTAATTGCTTCAGGAATGGCAAATTTCAAAATAGAAAATGGGTTTTTTTTAAAAAAAAAAATTGAGCCATTTCTTGTATGAAACGTCTTGCATTAATTTACATGTTTAATAGAAATAACACTTAGACTTACATAACCCTGCATAGTGCTTTACAGCAGACTCTCAGTGGTTTACAATGTCAGCATATTGCCCCCGAACAATCTGGGTCCTTATTTTACCAGCCTTGGAAGGATGGAAGGATGAGCCCCATCCTGGCTGTGTGTAGAGTTAGCTTGTAGTATTGTATTCTAACCACTGTGCCATCATGCATGGACTATCTTCCTACATATTGGAGGCTTCTATTATTGCTGGCATAACTGGGAAATATTCATTTGTAAAACTAATTTGTCTCTTTCCTCTTCTTTCTCTTTCCACTTAGGACAAAGCATCAATCCGAAGTTTGCTGGTCTTATTGGAAGGCATGGCCCACAAAACAAGCAGCCATTTACAGTGGCCTTTTTCAAAGCTACCGAAATACACCTTCGAAGTATCCGTTCTACAGGAGGTAAACAGCGGAATCAAAACCGTTCGAAGGCACCTAAAAATCAAGAATCTTTTCGAGTGTCGAATCTCGGAGGTACGCAAACATTAGGTGTGTGATTTCTATAAAATTAACATTGGGGATTAAGCTAAGAAAATGAAACTCTTTCTGGTGATTTTCTCTCCTTCCTAAATTGTTTTTCTGAGCCTTGCTTTCTCTGCTGTCAAGATACTTAGTGGTTGAGAAGTCTTCAAGAATGCTTCTCTGCAACCAACTGGTTATCAAACTTCATGGATTGCAGTGCACAATTGGAGTCTGTAGACCATTCTTAGCTCAGAATGGCCATTTTGATCATTCTAAATCTGAGTTCAGGACAAAATAGAGATGTTGCTTTGAGTGTTTTACTAGAAAAGAAAAAAGTATCTTACTCCCAACATTTCATCTGAAAGCTACTCTCCTAGATGGAGTAACAATCCATGCTAAGCAGTACATACTGTTGGGCTCCTCAGGCAGGACACTTGGAAGGACACCAACGGACTGAATTTTTATTGTCACACAGTAGTTGCAGTCATAATATAGACAATCTCTGTATTATGGGAAAAATGTATAGAATATGTACCCAGTCTTACTTCCGGAGAGGAACTGTACCAATTTTGGTTTTTAGTGCATGGCTGCTTCATGATTGGCCACCATTTTGTGCTTTGGGAGGGAAGGAAGGAAGAAAGATGTTATTGGATTTAGGATTTGCACTTATGCTGCGGTGTAAAGAGTCTACATTCTTTATATATCCCTCCTTTATTATTTTTGTAAATAACTCAAGATGGTGAACATACCTAATACTCCTTCCTCCTTCTGTTTTCCCTATAATAATAATCCTGGGAGGTGGGTTAGGCTGAGAGATACACATACCCTTATAGGGTAGCATGGAATTTTATTGCACTGTTTATAGATATTGTCATTATTTTAGAAAAAAAATATTTTTTAAAAAAGTCATTAATGAATGTAACTACATCACCTCAGCTAGCCTGTGCCTTATTATAATTGCCAGACTGGTTGCTGTGAGACAGTTGGTCTCACGTTGCTTTCCCTTCTTTTTCTGCCCAATGCTCTCCAACTCAGAAAACAGCAGCAGTGACCAAAGGCAAGCTTGCAAGAAACATGAACTCTATGTCAGTTTCAGGGATCTTGGCTGGCAGGTAATTCTACTTTTATACTTGGAATTAGAGATCCATGGTGCGCTTCAGTCTACTTATTCTCAAGTGGGTAATGTGAATACTGTGACCTCATTTTCTTATTATGTCCACTTGTAAAAAAAAGCAAAAAACCTGTTTCGGCAGGTAAGATCATACAGATCTCCAGGTTACTTGCAGATAATTCAAGGGCAGGTGTTCTTTGCCTATAGAATATTCAGATCCACTAATTTATTTATATATTTTATTTTTATTTTCTATATCCGATTTGAAGGTCACCCATCCCACTCGCAGAGCCACTGTGAGTGGTGTACAATTAAAACATTAAAAACCATGTATGTTATATTCCAAAAGGAGGCAGTTTAAACATGAGTAAAATAATTAAAGTTAGAAAGGCAGAGGAAGGGCCTTCTAGGCACTGTTCAACACCAAAGTTGTGTGTCTGTGGAGATTCTCAGTCGGTGTCTTTGAAGAACACCAAAGTTGTGTGTTCCTCTGGGAGACCCAAGCGAGTCGGCAGAGCCCAGTCTTCAAATTCTTTTGAAATGCCATGCTGGGGAGGGGATGCCTTGCTCCTGGGGGGGGTGAGAGTATTCCCAAGGGCAGGGGTGATGGCAGAGAAGGCTCTGTTCCTGAACCATGTCCGTCAAAATGTTTCATTTCTATATAAACCAAAAGAACCAGTAATTTTAAAGCCATCTTTAATGGGTAAGGCTGAGAGAGAAGGATTGGCTCAAAGACAACCAGGTGGCTCTCATGCCTAAGAGCGAACTAGAACTCACGGTCTCCCAGTTTCTAGCCTGGTACCTTAACCACTATAAGGAGTGAATACAAATCTAATAATATATTTTTTTTAAAAAAAAAATCAAAAGTAAAAAAAGTCATTCTAATCCAATTTTTCTTCACCTCAGCAACTTTAAGAGGTGTGGACTTCAACTCCCAGAATTCCCCGTTTCAGCATTAGGGGAAGCAATTAAAGTTACAGCGATTGAGAAACACTGCTTTAGGGGAAATGAAAAAATATCCACAGCAACCGCATTGGAGTTGATACCCTTGAAGTGGATCTAAGGCCGTGGTGGAGAACCTATGGCACGCGTGCCACAGGTGGCACGCAGAGCCCTCTCTGTGGGCACGCGCACCGTTGCCCCAGTCCTAGGCCTTCAGCTGGGTTTTATAAAACCTTTTCACTTTAGGCCTCCGCCGCTGTGTGCAAAAAAAAAAAAAAAAGGTTCAATCAATCAATCAATTTCAACTTCTTGCGGGAAAAAAAAAAGATCTCGCAAAGTTGGAATTCATTGATTGAACTTTTTAGTCCTATCCAATCTGCCGTTACCACCAAAGGCACGCCACCAAATGGGCTACGCCCACCAAATGGGTCACGCCCACCCAGCACCCGACGATACATAAGTGGGTTTTGGGTTGCAGTTTGGGCACTCGGTCTCTAAAAGGTTCGCCATCACTGGGCTAGGGATAAATTAATGTGTCTGTGGCAGGAAATGAAGGTTAAACTTTGTTAACCCTCTCTTTGATCTTTAGATGATAGCACAGACCAGAGACATTAATTTAGCCCTTGATAATCCCTAAACTGTTTTGAGCTAAAGTAAACCTCTCCTAACCCCCATCCTTTTTGTCATCATTCTTTTATTGCAACTTTTAAAAAAGAAACATGGGGGGGGGGGGAAATCTACAGAAACAAATTAAAATAAAAACAATATTATCTAACCAATTCAGTTATAAATCCCCATTTTAGTGAATGTCCTATATGTATGCAGATGCATTTCAAGATTTATTTATTTTTTTTGAAAAAAATGATGTTGTTTATCGGATAGCTTTATTAAGTGCTCTCCATCTCTCTGCCTCACCTAACCCAGGACTGGATCATCGCTCCAGAAGGTTATGCTGCTTATTACTGCGAAGGAGAATGTGCTTTTCCATTGAACTCTTACATGAATGCAACAAATCATGCTATTGTACAAACACTGGTAAGTTTCTCTTAAAAGTCTTTCGCAACAGTTCTGTAGCCTGATCAGTGTCATTCCATTAAAAAAAAAATTATAAGAGAGTTGAACTATATGGATTTCAGGAAAGTAAAATAATCATTAACTGCACACTACATTTCTTGTATCTTCAATCTGGTAATTTGTCTGATATCAGGTTGGATGGTATTTGGTGAACTCTGGGAAGTCCTTGGTGGTCTCTGAGCTTAGTGTTTGCTTGCAGACCTTTCATTACCAAACTAGGTAACATCATCAAGTTTAAATCATGTATCCACAATTTACCATTTTTAGATAGGATGGCAGTTTCTGTCCTCTCTTCCCCCCATCCTGTTAATATGTATATATAAGATCATTGCTTTTAATCATGCTAAGCAAACATATCCAGTAGACACATTTTTTTTCATAGCAATATACCTCTCATATTTCCTCAAAAAAACCTCACATAAGAAAATTTTGAGCAATATTTTCCATCATCACAGATTATCAGGAGCTAAAATTCCATACCTGGGAGAGGATATTGGGTTACTCCAAGATTATAAACTAGATCTAATTATTAATTGACACTATGAGTAAAGAACTCGCAGCTACATTGACAGTTCAGGAATAGCTAGTTCAGCTACTTTGATGGTGGTAAACTGTCTTCTTTGGGCAACACCCAAAGTTGCCATGCAGTCAGAGGAAATCAAGTGTTGGTAATAATAGGTGCCAAAACTGGATGTTCTAGTTGCATAATGGGAGGAAGCATTGACAGGGTGGAAGAGTATGGCGTTCAACCAATTAACATGTGTCTATGTGTATTTATAAATTAGTATAAAAATGGAAGTGAATAAAAGTGCATTAAGTACACTTTTACCTTTTTAACTATATTTTCACCAAGAATGAGAATTTGAAAACTACTAAGAAAATAATTCAGATATTTGAGAAATCCAGTGCTGTATCTTTTGGATACTCCACAAGAGAGAGGAGGAGAGAAAGGAGGAAAAAGGGGAAGAGAAATATTATTGTATTCATTCAAATAATTTCTTCATATCACCAGTTCCCGAGGATAGGAAGAATATCTAAAGAACTGTCAAATCCACAGAGACAAATGCTTTCTATGGCTGTAAGAGCTGCATTAATGATAGTGTGTGTGTGTGGGAGGGTGAGTTGTATGCATGCACCACATACCCACAGCACACACACACACACACACACACACACACACAGAGTATTGCAAATAATATTATCCCTAAACATTCACCTTTTATCCTTTTATTTACCCAGCCTTTATTCTTGCTCACTGCCCTTTCATGACTTCCTCATGTAACAACTCTTGTTGATCTTCTGTAAGACCTGTTTCTTCTAAACCCAGGAATTATAGTCTTCTCAGTACAGAAGTCAAGGTGTCAGATCTCCTGGCTCCAGTTCTGATAGAACTTGGTGGTAACTTTATTCGCAAGCCCTGTTCCTTTCAATGTCTAGTATCCACAGAGCTTGTTCAATTCATAGTTCAAAAATGCCTTGTTTAATTCTTGCACAGTGATCACCAAACTTGTAGAAAAGCAGGTCTTTCAAGAAATTGGTATAAGTGGCAGTGGTTGTAACGTCAGTGTAGCAGAAACAGGAAGCAGATATGGAGGGGAAAAGAACCATAGTCCAGGGGTCCCCAACCCCCGGTCCATGGACCAGTACCGGTCCGTGGCATACCAGCAACCAGGCTGCACAAACAAGCAAAGCCCCATCCGCGAGATGCAGGCAGCACACAAAACCATGCACCCTCTGGTCCGTGGAAACCCCTCTCTCCATGGAACTGGTCCCTGGTGCCCATAAGGTTGGGGACCTCTGCCATAGTCCATTTCTTGAGAGCCATATTCCAGGCTGCAAAATTCCAATGATCACTAGATGGCAGCAAGGAGTGAATCATTTTCAGTGTCTTTCCTGTCATCGAATGGTTTCCTGGATTCCTTCAATCTCTCTGGTAGCCCATCTGATGCTGTTGTGTTGTATTTGTGGTTAATATTCAGCTTCAATTCTTGTAAACATCCTGATGTCTCATAACTTATTTGCCTCCAGGTTCACTTTATAAACCCCGATACCGTGCCGAAACCTTGCTGTGCCCCAACACAACTCAACTCCATTTCCGTCCTCTACTTCGATGACAGCTCCAATGTCATTTTGAAGAAATACAGAAACATGGTGGTACGAGCCTGTGGCTGCCATTAACAGCCTAGTCAGGAAAGCTATTTCAAAATGTGCAGACTGAATTGTTTTTATAAAATAGAGAGTTGTAAAAAAAAAAAAAGAGGAAAAAAAGAAAAAGAAAACTATCTTAGGAAGAACATGATTTTTGAGATGCAAGTGCTGCTTTGAGTAAAGTTGGCGTTAGATTGCATGAAAGCATCTTGTTCTTATGATGAAAATAAGGATGAATTTTAGGAACAGATTTTTTTCCATTGCAAGTGCCTTGTCAAGAAAACAGACCTCTTTTCTTCCTTACTTTTCTTTTCTTTTTTTTTTAATAAGAAAGCTATTTGAGGTGTATATGAATGTGGAACATGTCCATGAGCGCTACGTGCAGGTTTATAGAACTTCTTCCTAAAGAAATGCACCATATGAATTAAAACATATGAATGAATTTAAGTGAATCCACTGGCTATTTTGACCATATTACTAGGAAGATGTGAATTATGACTTTTTTTTAAAACAATTCCATGGCCTTATATGTTTGAGATATTCCCTGCCAAGGCAGCTATAAAACTTTTGCAGTGATTCCAGTCACTGAGCATTATGTATATACTGTAATTTCTGCAGCTGGATCTCCTGTTTCCCCCTTCAAAGTGAGCAGACAGCATTACAAATCCAAGAATCAGGGCTGTACATAATATCCTTGTATGGCCATGCATAGTGTTCCATACAAGCAGAGAGACAGCAAGATAAACGGCATACAGATTTGAGTTGCAGTTGGCTGTATTTAATGTAATTCATAGAACTGCACAATTAAGCTTCCACTATTTGAGAAAACAGGGCTGACGATAACATTAACTAGAATACTGACAATAAAATTTGACAATCTATTTCCCAAATCAGAGTAGCAAATATGCAGATTTAATCTAATAATATTTTAATCACTTTTTTCTGACAACATTTCTTCTTTTCCTATGCTTTAATCCAATTTGATAGGCAAGAGAAAAGTCTAAATATTCAGAAGAGTGTGCAGGAACAATGCATTCAGCCAGTATAGAGATCTTTTGTTTCTGAAAAGTGCCTTCTCCCTTTCTGTTTTGGCAATGCTAATTTAAATCTTCGTCTGATCTGAAATGGGAAGGGAGCAGAAAGGTGTAAAAAGTTAATACAATAATAGCTGTTGAATTAAAAGGCTACATTCTTAAGCCACGTTGGTCAGACTAATCTGGATGAAGAGGTGGACAGCTTGTCAATATTTCCACAATGCTAAATGACATGGAATTGCTACTCTGTTGAACAGTGGTAAGCATTTTGTGATTTCCAGATGCTACTGAATTGTAAGTCTCATGTTTCATTATTAGTCATTGTGGCTCAGAAGCTGGAATTCAACATCTGTAGATCCATGTGTTACCTATTTCTGCATAGATTGTGCAGATTATTCATTGGAGAGAGCGGTTGGGAGAAAAGTACAAGGATAGAGGTTGGGTCTGTTATGTAGAACAAACATTAATCAATAATTTTATAGCAAGGTAAATAATTCAGGTTCTATCATCAAGCAGAATTGTTTCCAAAACCTGAGAATGTTATTGCTCTTCCAATTAGCTTGAGGATGTCCAGGTACGGCGATATGATTTTCAGCTGGGCTGTATGTTGTCTCAAAAAGAATTTTGACCATTCAGGAAAATTTCATAGGAGAAGATACCAAGATAAGAACCTACATAGGAAGGCTAAAAGAGCTGAGCTAAAAAAGTATTGAATTTCAAGCAGCAAGTGTAATATACCATCAGCTAAAGCTTTGGTAGTCCAAAAAGGATGTTGTGGCTGAAAAGTGATTGAAGCCATTCAATTTGTTATAACTGCAAGGTTGCAGATAATAACTCTCAATCACTGAACAGAGTCCCATGGAAAGCCATATCTAATCATTACTTGCTTTAAAAAAATTCAAAGGCTTTTTCCGCATCTAAAGATATTAAGGCAGCAGAATCCGTTTTATCCTCGGCTATATGCAGTATGCTACTTAATATATGCAAATTATCTGATGCCTGAAAATTTTTGATAAGACCCAACTGGGAAGGATGAATTATATCTAGTAAGATTTTTTGCAAGCATCCAGCCAATAGGGTAGTTAAGACCTTGGTGTCCACATTTTGTGGGTCTTTACTTGGTTTTAAAATCTTATATATATCTCATAGAATTATGATGGTAATTTATCAACCTTAAATTTTACCTCATTATATACTGCCCAAAGAATAGAAACCAGTGCAACCTGCGCATGCCTTATACCAGTGATTCTCAGTCTTGGCAACTTGAAGATTGTGTGGACTTCAACTCCCAGAATTCTCCAGCCGGCATAGCTTTTTTGGAATCTGTCATGACTTCCAGTGGTTGCTAAGAGAGCAGTCATAAGTTGAGGACTAGCTGTATTTTTGTTTCTGGTCTCCCTGAATATTAGAGAGATGTTTCTCCCCTTCTTACTGCTAATAAGGCTGCCTAATGAAGTTAATTTGCTGCAGTAGTACACAGAAAGTATTTTATCACACAGTGCCTAAGTAAAATTTCTAGGATTTGTTACCACATGGTGAATTGCTGGTTTTTAAAATAGGAGGAGGATGGGTCTACCAAAGACTCTGAACCATGGAAGCTAACTTCTACATGATCATATATATAGGAAGCTAGGAACAAACCATATTGATTGACATTGCCTTGCTATCTATGAAATCATGCTTGGGAATGTTCTAGACTGGGTGGCTGCTAGATGGAAAAGGCCAAAAGTGGACTTTCTTACTGGTCAGTTTACTGGTCAGTTTACTGGCCAGTTTCATATAGGTAGATTGTGGAGATAGAGCCCAATGGGAAAGTAAAGAGACCAGAGTGATTTTCAAGCATCCCTCAAATTAGAGCTGGTTCTAATCCTTATCTTTTCTCCCAGTGAAATTTATTTTTGGATCAAATTAATTGCCCTTCACCTGCTGATGAAGCCAGGAGGTGATAATCCTAGCATATTTTTATATAGATGCTTACACCAGCTTCATATGTCTTTCTAGGGCAGTGGTGGCAAACCTATGGCACGGGTGCCAGAGGCGGCACTCGGAGCCCTCTCTGTGGGCACACGTGCCGTTGCCCCAGCCTTGCCTCCCCCCGCGACCCCCTCCTCTCCAGCAGCCCCCCTGGAGGAGACTCACCCTCGAGCATGGCCCACACGGAGCAGCACAGCCAAGGACATGGCAGCCAGGCAGCGTAGTCAAGACTCTGCCCTCACACCCCATCATGCAGTTGATGCTGCAAGGCGCGGGCAGAGGGTGTGGCTGCCATAGCGCTGCTGGGCTGCCTGGGCAATCTGCGGTGGGCCCTGGAGGCGATGAGTGGTCCTGTGGGCAGGCGGGGCGGGGGATGGGGAGGCAGAGCGGGGGCAGGCAGGGGGGATGGAGCGGGGGCGGGGCCAGTTTTTGGGCACTCGGTTTCTAAAAGGTTCGCCATCACTGTTCTAGGGTTTGGTGTACCTCGTTCAGGGAACTCTATTTAATGCTATACTAGGTAAAAAGAAAAATGTGGTCTTCCTGAGCCTGTTACCTTCAGGCTGTGTTGGGACAACAAAAGCAGGATTCCTGACCATCATGTCAATCCTGAGCATTGTAGGACACCAGCTTCGGGGAGACTGCCTTATGAATGAGTATGTATATAATATATGGGTGATCTGTAGTGCCTTCTTTTCCAGATTATGTTGGTAAATATTCTGGAAGAAAACCTTCACGAATGAGTTCAGCCTCTTTATGTGTATTAGGGGAATAATATTCCTAGGGTCGTTTCTCTTCCCAACCTTTATAAATAAATGGCCTTTTTTTTGGTTAATTTCTGTTTTAAGTTCCATTCTTTGTACATGTTTTTGTAAATAGTTTTCACAAAAGCCAAAAAAAAAATATTATTTATTTCAACCTCTGTATTTCTTTTCTCAGTCACATTTGGAAAAAACAAAACCAACCAAGCAACCGACAAAACAAAAAAAAAAAAACGTCTCTCATTTGAAAACATTGTTGTTTCTTTATTTAATAAAATATTTATTAACAGCTGCTGGTGAAAACAAATAAATGTTTTGGGGACTTTTTATTTCCTTACAGCAGTTGTTTTTAGATGGTTGTTTGTACAAATTAATCAAATAAATCATTGCCATTTTATGTGGTTTTAAAATGAAGTCTCTCTTGTGATGTTTTTGTGTGATTATTGTGCTTCCTTTCCTTCTTCACAGCCCCATCCTGTAAATGTTCCTTTGAGTTCAATGGGTTTCACTGTCAGGACAAATGCAATCCCATTCAAAGAGCCACAAATGAATAAAGGCTACAATTCCTCATTTATGTACCTCAGTATAAGCTCCAGGTAACATAAGGAGATTTTTCCTTTGAATATATTTGCATGTGGATGCTCTAGAAAGGTTGAAAAGTTTTGGGACCCAGTTTTATCCAGAATTAAGCTCAATATTTATGTTCTGCATTTATTTGAAAATACGTCTGTTTCACTTTGACTCCCAGGTTTTCCAGATGGCTTATGACAAAACAAATCAATAAACACAGTCCACAACAGGAAAGATACAAAATTGTAAATAACGATGAGAGGGAGGAGAGAATCAGATACAAAGGAGGACAGAAAATTTCCCCCTAAAGCTGGGTTTATTTATTTTATGGAGGAAAATGTTTAAATTGCCCAATAGCCAAAGCTTTCTGGATGGTTTATAATAAATACATTAAAAGTTACATTTTTTGAATAAAAATATGTACAATAAAACGCAAAATAAAAACTTGAAAACTAGGCAGCTGAAAGACAGTTATTCAAAAGCTAAAAATAATATGAATTAAAATACAAATAAAAATCAGTTAAGAAGCCAGGGCAAATAGATCTTGACCTGGCCACGAAATGATGCTAATGTGAGTAACAAGCCACTCTGAGGAGGGAATTCCACAAATGAGATGCTATCACTACACAAAAAGGTCTCCCCCTTATAGAGGTCCATCTCACATCCTTTGGTGAAAGGACTGGTACATACAGTATGGGAGAAGGTGCTCCTTCAAGTCATTTGGTCCTAA